CACTATCACTCCTCTTTCTGTCATTGTCTATCTATCTACACTTTACCCTCTTTTCCCACTGCCGCCCTATCACAACTCACTTGTTTACATTCCACTCGTGAAAAATGTGTACCCTTTTGTGGCAAATATAGTGTGGCCTCATTCACGCCGACCCCTCTCCTTTGATCGTCTGATCCTACTCGTAGATCCGTTCCTTCTCTTTCTGGTTGACCGATTTCACTCGGTTCCAGTCCTAGTGTGCATTTCACTACAGGCGCGATTTCTCAAGGCCCTCGAAGCACGTACACAGCCGCCTCACTGAGCAGAGCGACTAAGCTCTGATTCGAATACTTTCAGATATCAGGCCTTGCTTTCACGGGTTCTCTCCTTCATTAAACTCATGCTATCTGAGCAAACTGTGGACGCCTATCTCTGGTCGCATGCGGCATCTCAAGTGGATTTCTAGTACATTTTGGCCATAACGCCGAATTTCTGTGATGGTTTACTTATCCGTTTGCCCAGTTTGCAGACTGCCAGGCCTCAAAGTTGAACCAGTTTATTCGAAACGGAAATCACTCATTGAAAACGTCTTCGCTTGATTTCCGAAACTTCTCGCACCCTGATTTCCTCATCGCGATCCCTTTTCGTCCGGTTAGCGATAGAACCGTGATCCAGGCTTCTCCTTATTGTTGGTCCTGCTCTTTTTTTATTTTCACCTTTTTCGCTTAAGCAGTAGGCTAAGTTATCGCTAAATCTACATTTCTCCAATCTCATGTTCATTAGATTTGTCTCCCCAAAGATGTCAAAGGCCCCACTAATCTTGCGCTTCCTTGTGTTGTGACCGTATAGGGCTCTTCTTTCTGTTGCCTTCCAATTGATCTCCTGTCCAGTCCGTGCGATGTGTTCCGCCAGTTCTGATCTTTCAGTATCCATTTTCCTGCTTAGCCTCTGATTTTCCTTGATTCGTCTGCTAATTTTTCTTCCTGTTTCGCCAATATATTTTTGTTCGCAAGCGCCGCATGATATACAGTAAACTCCTGAACAATCCAATTTGTCTACCCTTTCATGTTGCGTTGGAAGACTTGTAAAAAATGTTGATTTTTCTCTCCTTTTCACCATAATATTCAATTTCCTCAGTGTTGGCTGTAGTTTTTGAGTTAGTTCGCAGGAAGGATCCACATTTGTGAATCCTCCATCGTTTTTAGCGTTCTTTCATATTTCCCGTTCTGCCATCGGCTTTTCACGGCTCGCATGTTTCTTTTTATCCATTTCTGTTTAGATATTGCCGAATAATATATCCGCGTCAATTTGTCCAGCTCCTCTTCCCAGAATTCTACATCCGTTAGGGGTAGGCTTCGAAAGATCATGATCCTCATTTTTCCAATCTTTAGCTTTTAACCGTGATTGGACCGGAAATTGAGTATTATCCCAGCATAGTACTTCATTCAGAACAATTTTTTGTGAGCGTCCTATTGGAGCGAATCACTTTAACGTCCAGAAACGGTAACCGCTCACTTTCCTCTTCTTTCATCGTGAATTTAATTTTTCCACCAAGCTGGTTTACAAACTTCAGAAAACCTTCCAGTTTTTGTCTTCCATGTGACCATAGGGCAAAGTAATCATCCAGGTACCGCATGAGCACTGTCGGTTTCAGCTGTGCCATTTTGAAACTATCTTCGGCGTTATAGCCAAAATGTACTTTAAATCCACTCAAGCTGCCGCATGCGACCAGAGAAAGGCGTTTAAAGTTTGCTCAGATAACATGGGTTTAATCAAGGAGAGGACCCGTAAAGGGAAGGCCTGATATCTGCAAGCATGGCAATCAGATCTAAGGCACTCTGCTCGGTGAGGCGGCAGTGTACGTGCTTCTAGGGCTTTGAGAAATCGCGCCTGGAGTGAAATGCAAACTGGGACTGGAACTGAGTGAAATTGGTCAACCAGAAAGATAAGGAACGGATCTACGAGGCAATGAAAGGATCCGGATTGAAGGCCCGAGTCAGATAAGCCCATCGAACTAGATGGGTCAGGGTAAATAACAAGTGTGCTGAGGCCACACTAGATTTGCCGCAAAGGGCACCTATTTGGACGAGTGGAATGTAAACAAATGAGAAGTTGTGAAATGGCAGGAGTTGGATAAAAAGTTAACGAGTATATGGATAGGCTATTAGAGAAAGAGGAGTTATAATGTAACCGTTTTCGGCAGAACGGTTGTCGAGGGATTCACTTCACTTGTCTCTTTGGCGAGTGTGTAGCTTGGTGCGGACAATATTAAAACTCAATGATGATGCCGACTACGATGCCGGCCAAACGTTTGGGAATGTACCACGTCCATAGTTCAACTTTAAAAATGATCATGCAGACAATGGACCCCGGACTAGCTGCGCTCCAAAAAGTCTTCCTACCAATATGACCATGTTGCGAAAACAAGGTCAAACAACCTCTATACAACAAAAGGAGACTGCGACCACACAAAAGGCCACACCATCTTGGTCTTAATACCTTCGAGTATATCCTCTAATTTAATTTTTTCCATGCTAGAAAAAATATGCAATTAGGTTCAAGTTACATAAGAATTTTCCTTCTTCATGCAAGTCAAGCAAGGAAATTGCCGCCAGGAAGGATTTATTTAGAACTATAGCTAACCTAAAGCTAAAAAAATGAAGAGTGAATCTCTGCTGCTAAGGAAAATATCCGCTGGACAGAAGAGGTAGCTGCGCTTTTATACACCTGCTCGCAGTGAGTTTTGTTTTAATACAC